CTATAAATCTGTTTTAATAAGGACTTTGGGATATTTTAGGATCAGGAAAATTTCATAAATATTGTCTGAGTAAAAAGTTTGATGGCAAAAGGAAGTTCAAGTTCTTGACTTTTGAATTGTCTGAGTTGTATAGACTTTTGACTTTTTATACATTGTAATACTAGGAAGCAGGGATATTGTCCCAAGAAGCATGAACAATGCATACCTAAGTATAGGGGAAAGAAAGGACAAAGAAAATTATAGAAATGGCATGGGAGAGTTGAATTTTTGTCCCAGATTTATTTCCCAGTTTGCCTCATTATATTAAATTCCTTCAACATTTATCAGAGGACTACTATCTTTCAGATCTTTTATCCAAACACATGGTGATTAAAAAAAAAAAAAGATAGAGCTGAGCCCCTGCATTCCATGGGCTCATAATGTGTGAAAAGAAACAAACATCAATATGATAAATGATATCCTGTAGGGATAATCAAGACAGTATGGATTCTAGGAGCTTTCCAAGCAGATAAGAGTGGGGGAACATTCTAAGCAGAAAAGGCAGTATATGAAAATGGCCATCATCAGTTCTTGAAGTTGGAAATAGTTTCAAATAGCACAAAGGAAGTGTAGAAGAATGTTAGGAAAAGAGACTGGAAACATAGGCTAGAAGCCAGCTTATAAAGACTCCGGGCTCTATCTTAATATTGGACTTGAGGAAAAATCATTGAAGAATTATTTATGAGCATTAATAAAATCTTCTCAGATTTGTGAAAGATGAATAAGCCATATGGAATGGTCCAGTGGGAGACTTAGGAAGGTGTTTTAGGAGGCTCTTGAGGATGTGTAGAGAAGAAATGATAAAGGAGGCTGAACTAGGGCACTGGCTGTGAGAAAGGAGAAAGTGGATCAGACTTAAAGGATATCACAAAGTTAGGAGCCCAGGATTCATGACCATTTATTGTGGGAATAAGGGAGAAGTTTAAGATGACTCCTCAAGTTTCTGTCCTACATGATAGAGATCAAGGAGCCATTTAGCAAAGTAGAGAAAACAGGTGAAGAAGCAGGTTGGGGCTGGAGATGGTAATATAAAGAATGCCACGTTGAACATGGTAAGTTCAGGACATTGTTGAAAATTTGGGTCTGGCTCAGGAAAAATAATGGATATATAGACTTAGAAATCCTCAATCTCAAATTGATGATTGAGGTCATAGATACAAATGAGGTTATGCATGGAAAATACATAGGGTGAAAGAGGCCAACCCTGACTCCAGCTAGTGGCAGCTAGGGCAGAACCATAGAAGGAAGCCAAGGAGTGCCTTGAAAGATAGGAAGCCACTTAGAATGCTGGAGGCAGAAAAGAACACTTTCGGGAATGAAACTGCTGAGCAGTTTTAGTTGCTACAGAGAACTGTTTCTGTATTTGGCAGTCGTAAAGTTTTTGGTAGACCTAATAAGAATGACTTCATTGGCGTGTTTGGGTGCAAGCCAAACTGTTGCCTTGAGAAATTAATCAAAAGAGAGAAAAAGAAGAAATACATAGTATTTCTTGGCTGTGAAAGACAGAAACAAGGTCGTCAGTAGAGATTGGAAAAGGCTTAGTGAAAGGGAAGGGACTGGAATTTGTTAGCAGATGAAGGGGGAGGGCTGGAGAAACAGGAAGGTTGAAGGTGTAGAGGGGAAGGGTATAATTAATTGCTAGCACAGACTTCTAGAACGGAACAGGCGAGCATAGGACCAAGAACACAGTAGGAGGCTTGAATCTCGAGCAGGTTATAGAATGTCTTATTTTGATACGAGGGAAAAAAAAAGGAGGGCTAGGGAGGTAAATAAATTATTGGTTTATTGGGCAGAAACTGAGATTGTTGCAGTGGGGTAGGCCCTGATTTCTTTATGAAGTAGGTAGTAAAGGCATCTCTCAGCAGAGAACATAATGTGTCAATGAAGCAGAAATAACGGTAATGACTTTTATGTCCAGCTGGTGTACAGAGCTGCAGGCAAAAAGCAGAAGTCTATCTTCACCTCAGTTCCTGATACGCCTGATCTTTTAAGAGCCAAGAGAGGACAGAAGCTTCAGAGTCAGGTAAGATTCATAAACCTACAGCGCTGGCAGCACGGGGGGTGGTTATGTGTGGCTGACCACTCCAGGTCAGTGCAGCCCCTCACACTTGGTTGTCCTTGATAAAGCCTAATGGCCCTTAACTTCAAGAAGTAGTTTTCTTTTGGGCCATCATAACTGTGGTTGTGTTTTACATAAACAAGTAATCCCATGTCTACTTTTCTAAGTTCTATGCAACTTTTGTTATTGGATGAGTGATCTATGGACTAAACTGCTTGATTCATTCAGTAGGACCTATCTGATGTTCATGACAAATGAAACCACAGTGTATGCATTCAGATGAAAATGGGGAAAGAATGTGTTGAGGGCTTTGCCAGAACCTTCTCATTCTCCCCTTGGCATTCTTTATCACGGGGATTTAGATTGGGCCACACCCAACAGTAAGGGTATTAGGTAACTAGCATGTTGTACACATATTTCCAAATGTGAAACACAGAAATAAAAGAACAGAAATACATATGATAAATAAAAAACCAGGACAACAATAGGTAGACATGGCCCTCCCATTTAGTGGGTAGAAATGAGTGAAAATAACTGGATACTAAATAATGAATGTTTTATCTCTATCACATCTGATCCCTATTCTCTGATTAGTATCTGTATGTTGAACTTGCCACCAAAGAAAGACCCCATCACCATGCTGGAAACCAGACCAAAGCCTTGAAGCACGCTAAAGATGTAAAGGACATGGTCAGTGAGGTAAGTTGGGAATTTGGCACCAAAGCGCACTGGGTTAAAGAA